AGAGAGAAATACCCAAATATGAGAATAAAACAAAAATTAAGTGAAGTATTGGAGGAAAGTCAACTTTGAGGAAAATGTTAGTATTGGAAAATAAAACACAAGAATTCTAAAAAGGCAATTCAATTTACCAGATTTTTAGCAACTTTAAATTAAGCCAATGAGGATAAATCAGGGCTGTCAGTGAAGATTTTGCAAAATCACTAGATAGATTTCATGAAAAACTTCTCTCTTTTTGTTAAAAAATCACTAGATTAATTTAAGACGTTTGCCCCCAACAAAAACTTATCAGTTTTGATAAACAAAAAAATTTTCAAGGCCCAAGTCACTTGCTTTGGCAGCCCTGGGATAAATAACACATAAGTATCGATGTTTAGAGCAGGTATCGGTACCGATACCGATACCTATAGTTATCTAAGTATCGAGTACCTGGTATCGATACCTGCCCATCACTAAGGCCTACACGGAGGAGACAAAGAAGAGAAGAGAAAACGTAGAGGGGAAAAAAGCCCCAAAGAAATAAAGAACAGAAAATGAATGAAAGGGGGAGTGGCGGGTGGTATTTTGATAATTATAATAAATCAGACTGGTGAAGTTTCAGTGCCTTGAGAGCTCTGCACAAGGCCATGGTTGTTTTTGTTTTTCCCCGTTTCCTTTCCTCCCTCTCCTCCTCCTCCTCCTCCTCCTCCTCCTCCTCCTCCTTCTCCAAAATCATTTTCGACTTTTTATCGTTTCAATGGGTTATCGCGAATGGTTGGTCGGCGCTGCTGGTTAGTCCTAATTCCTTCCTTTCCCTCTGTTGTTTCTGTCTCTCTAACTCTTTCCATGCATAAAATTATGGCAGTTGTGTCAATGTGCTTCTCTTCACTCAATCAAACAGATAAAAAAACAACAACACACACAACACAACTGAGGGTAATCAAGGATTCCAAGTTCGCTTAGATCTATAGGCATACGTTATCTGTATTTGCTTTCCGTTTTAAATCCTGGTCGTTTTATACCGGTGTAGTGGTTATGCACTTCGCCGTCGTGCGCAGAACATCCGAGTTCGATTCTCGTGTGGGGAGAATTTTTTATAGAGTATTTTCGTCTTTCTGCTGGGATGTTGCATTCCTCTCAGGCCGGGTTGGCACTGGAAGGTAATATTATAGCACGCCTCCTAAATGATCTAAATTATGTCGATGGGGGCATAAAACACCTACGTTAGAATATTTTTAAAAATCACAATATGGAACAAAATAAAATTGATACAGACAAAAAAGGATCATCCACCATGAAATGTCGATATGTAAGTTTTTACTTGCAAATTTTTCATGAAGGTTTTTTTTTGTCTACGAGGAAGGCCTACTTAATAAAGGG